TACATTCTACATTCTTGGCATGTTCTCACACACTTAAGACTTTGTGTTTACATATTTAATTGTCTTAATTGGGACTGGACTTGGCTGACTTCATAAAACTCACCTGTTTAAGTATCACCTGTCGATTTGAAGTGTTCACTGGCGTACACAATCTCTGCTTCAAAGACAGAATTGTGGTCATCTAGTTTGAAGCTACTTTAGTTATTGAGACTGATTACAGAAGAAAAATGCCTCTGTGCTCACCTCTCAACTGGACACTTCCCTGCTAGGGTAGAGTTGGTAGTTTGCACCTGGCAGAAAGTTTAATTTTCTTGGTCTCACCGCGTTCTCTGAGAACTCTCTCTTTATGTCGCCATCCCTTCACAGTTGGGCGGTTGGACTCAGCTATCTAGCAGTTTTAAGCGACCAGCCGTTAGTGCTACTTTAAACGTCACTTGTGTGTTGATCGGCCTGATATCAAGGACCACTTCCAGGGCCTTTGCTGAGTTAGTTCTAATCGCGTCTGCTATATCTAATAAACAGCTACAGCGCACCCGTTCCAGAGGTTTAAGTTGACACTTTTTCTTTAGTATTGACCACCATACCAGCGATCCATAAATTAAATTGGGTCTTACGTTGCTTGTGTAAGGTCATTAGGGGTCGCAAGCACAATTTTGGCGCAACTGGCATTTTGCACGTGCTCCAAATTCTTCTATATGTTCCCTTCAGCTTTTTTATACGAAGTACTTGACTGAAATGGAGTGTGCTACGATATGACCCAATATAGATCTTGTGAAGAGGGAGACCTCGGTTTTTTTCGGGTTTACAGTTAGCCCTTATTTATTCGCCCACTCAGCTGAGATTTCAAGTCAACACACCATTAGCCGTGTTAACCGATTAGGTTGTTTCCCTGAAGATGGGAAGGCAAGATTATACGGACAGCGCATTATACTTTCCTTTTCCTCGGAGACAGAGAGGTAGGGACTTACGTGTAACTTCCGAGTCTGGTTAAGTCCTTTTAATAAAGCCTTAAATAATCGATCTTGATTTAAGCGGGAGGGTTCTGTCCACTTTTCAGTGGTTTTCGATCCAAAAGTAAGTGGTGCCCACTCGAATCCTTGTATTTGTCAATTTCAAGCGTTCGTCTCAATAAAAAACTATACTATTTAGTAACTGAGTCATTTTTTCTCATAACTGTAGACTTTGTTTCGTCCCTAGTACGAGCGCAAAAGCAAACAGAAAAATAATTTTGGCAAGTCCCATACATTTTTACATATATTTTTGCTCATTGTCCAATTATAATGCAATATGCAGTGGTTGCCAAATCGCCAATCGAATTGAGTTCAATAAAATATAATCCAAAACAACAAAAAAAAAAGAAAAACAGCAAGCAAAAGATTATTATGTATACAGTCCGCTAGCGGGAGCTCTCAGCCAAAGTGACTCCCTTTATGAACATCGTCTCCTGGTCGTCGCAGTAATCACACAAAGTACAACATACTTTTAGGCGTTAGCTCATTGCTTATTGCCTAAGTGCAATTCTCAAGTGGACAGTGAAGTAATAAACTGAAAATATCAATTAGATGGAGAACACGGCGCTGCTTGGTACACATTCCAAAGCTGACTAAAATGTTTGCCAACACCAGGAATAACTTAAAAGTGCCAGTTCATCGCAATATTTTTCTCTTCAAAGCTTTTTGTCAACGCTCAAGGAATTCTCCATGCCATTGGGTCATCTCCAAATTATCACACGGAGCTCGCTACCGCGCTACACCCAATAAATACATTCCCTATGCCTGCTAATGAAATAAGCGAAGGTCAATATCTTGCCACTGATCGAAATGGTACAGAAAGGGATTACCAGAAATGTACTCGTACGCAAAATTTGGAATAGTAATAGTTCGTATAGGCTCTTGTCTTATAGAAGAAGTTACAGGAGCTGCAAGGACATATTGCAGGATGGATCTACGGAGTTTCATCAGGGTATCGAAATGATTGGATAAAGAACTCTAATAATCAAGAATTTCGGGACATCCAAACGGGGATTCTTCACAATCTAAGCTCAGCGTGTTGTATTCTCCAGTTTATATTTTCTTTTGGGTTTAAATACTTTGGGGATCATGATCGGGGGGACGATATGAACCGAAAGTCCCAAGGCCACTTGGACTTGTAACTTGAGCCATCTGTAATTCAGTGAAGAGCCAGCAACCGAGGTTGTCATCAAAACAAGGTGTTAGTGCTCTTATTTCAAGCTAATTTTTTCTTGAACAGTTCTGGGAATCGTCGTTTATGTAAAAAATTATTTCAATTTGAAAATTGGTAAAAAACCGTGGGGCTTACAATGAGAATGCTATGAGTGAAACTGGACCTAGGAGGGATTTGCTTGCTTGCGTTCCGGAAATTTTGATGGCAAAGACGCTTTCCGTTTAATCTCCTAGTCATGAAGAAATGCTGCGAGATAGTTTGGAAACATTTAAAACAGGCTGACACACAGAGAAGCTCTGCGGCAAGAAATTTACGACAAGTCTTAAAAAAGCCACAGGACTTGATCAATAGAAAAGGTTGTTGAAGTAACGGCAATGCAACAAGCTTAGGAGCAGACGAGTTTAGCCTTAGTCATAGAGATAATCGGACGGGAGATCAAGAAAAAAGCAGCTGTTTCGACAGAGGAAAAAAGAGGTGAGATGAGTAGATTTTTAGTGGCATATAAAGAGGTGGTGAGTATAAAGTACGATAGGTATCTATATCGGTATCAAGTCTGCGATAAGTAGGAATTAAGTCGATTACAATATACAGATCTTAATAGTGTCAGCACTAGAAAGCCGTTCTAGGGAAGAGAGCTCAAGGTGTTGACGGATGCTCAATGAATGGCCTTTGAAGCCCATCGGTAAGCTGTTCTGGTCCAGCTGAATGGAATCTGTCTAATCAAGTACTCACTGCCTGATGTGCCTGATGGGATGCTTCCAGTAGATTTGGCTTGTATAGCATAACATTTTGCTCCTTAACGCATATCATAGACATTTCGCTGTGCTGTGTGTGATGCTCAGGTGACATTTGGAGGTTTCCCTGCTAGTCCTCGGCATTTTTTTGTATTTTTAATTTTTTTTGTTTTCAATAGACAAGGTCTTTAGTTTCATCTAGGCAACACACAACTTTAATGCTCAGGCGAAATTTGTCGGAGCGTGTTTGGACTGTTTTGATGCCCAGACAGTGTACCATCTGACTACCATATGTTTCGGTCAATGCAAAAATCTCTTGATGGTGTAAAAAGAATGACATACCGAAGGCCCACTGAAAAATCGTTTGGCAAAGTTCTTTGCCGAGCAACTACAGAGATTCTATACTGTTGGGACAAGTTAGTAATGTTAAGAATGAAACAGCTGTGGGTCGCTCAAGAACAACTTAGAAAATTGCTGCTGTAGCCCAAAGTGTTGAAGAAAACCCAAATTTGTTCATTCCTCGGCGTTCTTTGGAATGTGGCTTGCCACAAACGTCTTTCCACCGTATTTTGAATAAAGACTTGGGACTTCAAGACTGATAAAGTTCTGTCAACACAAGAACTCACGTCGGCCGATCATAAACAACGTCGTGTTTTTGCCGTTTGGGTACTTGAAATGCCTCTCCATTCTCAATGTGTTACTCTTTGGTGCTGTTTAAAGTCCGACGGGGTTATGGTGGCTTAGTTTTTCGAAAATAAGACTGATTAATGATTTATTATGGCCGGATTCGGATGGTATTTATTTGGACAATGAAACACAAGCAACGAAACCAGCGATCTTTTAAGGGTTTAAAGTTTCCAGACCTGGTTATCTCCCGAAGAGTTGATCGCTATTGGGCCACGTGATAAAAGAGATCCAAGCCAACAGGCCAACGTCGATTCAGGACCTCTAAAATGGAATTCGTAAAGCAATTGAGGACATACAGCAGCCAATTTGCTATTTGCTGATGGAAAGTTTCATAATAAGCTTATGGGCCTGTGAGCGTGAGGTGGCCTTTTAGCTGATATTGCTTTCCATTATTAATGGCATATCTTCCTCTTTACATTGAAATAAACATCCGCTCATTTATCACGAAAAATTCCTTTTTTGATGGAAAATACCTGTACAACAACAACACAGAGGCACTCTAAATTATGCTAAACTACGATTTTCTAGGACTAAGAATTTTAACTAGTTGTTGTTATTGCAGTAACTAGCTAAGCTTTTTGCAGTAAAGCCTTTTCACATCGAGTCTTAGGTTCGGAACACGATTTCGCTGGCAATGACAGTGAACAGAGCTTTCTTCCTGCATAAAGTCATTGAATTTTCAAAAAAAAAAAAAATGGATCGCTGAATATTATGGTTTTATGTTTTTAACGATTATTTCATATGTATGTATGTATGTATGTATGTGTGTGTGTGTTGTACTCATTACAAAATTGTTGAACTTTTCTCATCCCTTTTTGCATTCTAATTTTTTATGACTTAATTATCCATGAACTTGGTAAACATTTCTGTGTCCTCCCATCATATTAAAACTGACATGCATATATATATATATATGTACGTGTAGGTATGCAAATCAGCTTTAACTGTGAATTCTAAGTAAGCGTGACAAGACATGTTTACATATTTACATATTAACTAATTCATGGAGTAAATATTGAGTATTCAGACAAACAAACAACCAAACAAATAGACAATAGATTAAAGCAATTTACGGATATGCAAACGTAGATACATTTGAATATGCATATGTATGTATGTACATATATATGCGTATATCATTCTAGAATATAAAATATTTATTATAACTTTAGGGCGAAAAATTATATATTATATTTTTTTTTTTGTATGTATATATGTATATATATGTAGATGTGAATAAAATGTTCAAATGAACTCGAGAACAAGTTTTTATGCATTACTTAGCAATGAATGAATGAATAAATATGTTTGCATACGTTTATATACATATGTACATACATACATATGTATATATGTATAATATATAATCTTTATGGTTTTGTGGTTTAGACTTACCGCGACGATTGAAGGGTCGCACCCTCACAGCAACTTTGATCTTATCAGTTGACATGGTGGACGACGTTGGCGGCAAGTGCTGCTACGTATATATATTTATATATATATATGTATGTTTGTATGTATTTTTATTAATATGAAGTATGTATTCTGCGTTTGTATATTCACGCTACCGGCGCTAAGACGAATTGGTAGTGCGAGCTTTTTGTTTTTTTTTTTTTGGTTTTGTTTTAATGTGCACACGTAGAAATTGTTATTTTGTAATCTGCACCAAATGGAATTGTGGGCTGGTTGAGCTTTGCGAAAGAGAAAAATACTGTTTAGAGTTTTTACTGTATTTGCGTGTCGCCGGTTACTGCTGTCGCATAAATTCACGTCCGTCAAGGATGAATTCCGTTTTTTATTTCTTTTTTTGTTTCCAGTGCAACGCTGTGTGGTAGTGCGTTGTCCTGTGGCCAACACTGACGTTCGACGTTCGACGTCGCGAGTTGTTGACTTTGTCAAAAAGAAAAACACACACACACACACATACACACAAAATGAAACGGAAACAGTTTGCGACGTTGACGTTATAAATGACGCGCTCGCGTTGACGGTCGATAAAATGTGTTAATACTTATACATATATGTATGTATGTATGTACATATATTTAACAAGCACCGATATGACAGTCAGTCACGTTGTGGCGCTATGGCTTTGGAGCCTAGAGTGTAACGCGTTAACAACCACTAGCGAATTTTTCTTTTATTTTTTTATTTTTTTTCTTTATTAGCTTTTCGCCTTGATGTGCGACACAAAAGCACACGCTCCCCCTTGGACTCTTCGTTAGCACTGGTGCGCCGCACCTTCAGCCCTTTTCAATTTTTTACACAAAAGTCAAGTGGTGGAACTTGTATGGTATGGACTTGGTGTGGTTTTCTTTAGATGTATTTCTTTTTTGTTTATTTATTTATTTTTATTTTTTTTTTGTTACTTTTTATATCACTTTTGTATTTCTTTACATAAACACACATTACATACATATATAGTTTGTTACTGTTTCACTGAAAATATATTTGTTTGACGCATGTAAGAAGGACTAAAATCTATTTTATTTTTTTTCCTTCAAAATGAATAATTTATAACAAATTTCTATAGCCAGCCACAGGTCAAACGCTCAAGAGGACTTCTGCTTTTTAAGAACCACAGCAAATACACTCAATTACATAGAGAAGGCTAAAGAGGCAAGAGTTCATCGTTGTTTGGCCGCAAATGAAAGGCGACGGTTTTGAATTCAGACGTCAAATATTGGGTGTTGTACTTTTTCAAATTTATATTTAGGGCTTAGTGATGATGGAAAAGCAAACATGTCCATAAATATATGTGTATGTAGTATATCTAAAGCTAGACAATATTTCTGTTTATTTTTATGGATATTTACTGTTTGCACGGGTGACTCAGCCGCGGGAGAGGGGTTGCAATTAAATTAAAAGCATTAGTTCATCAAATTAAGTAGTGGAAACTATGTGGAATTTTTTCCAAAAAAAAAAAAAAAAAAATAATAATAATAATAAAAAATAAAATAAAATAAAATATTTTTTTTTGTTTGGTTACATTGGAAAAAGGTCAAAATAATTTCAAATTCTATTTTACTGTTATAGTGGCCACAATCACGGGTTGGGTAAGCACGATTTTGATACCTTTTATCACATGTTAAAAAGAAAAATTGACTCATCTTCAATATTAACTCAAAGAAGACTTTTTAGCTACTTATGAATTGTCATACAAATGTGCATATGTAAGTTAGTATTATATTAAAATGTGATTCACAGTTTCCAATTCACTAATTTATTTATAATTTTGCCACATATTCACTTTTCAACAATCCTTTCCAGAAAATAACCTTTTTAAACTCCTTTCTACGAGCATTTAACGCTAGTTTAAGCATGGAAAATCTGGCTATTTATTATATTTTTCGGCCTTAGTTTTGCATATTCACAGCAGACTTTTAAATAGTTAAAACTTTTTAATAATGTGCTCAAAATTTTATACCTTATTTAATTTTTGTTTTTTATTTATTTAATTATTTATTTACTTTTTATTTATTTAATTTTTTTTTTTAAACCAAATGTGTAATGCCAAAATTTTGAATTTTTTAACAGAGTTATGTACCGCGTAGGAGTAGATAATATTTAAAACAAACGAGTTATTTCTTTTTTTTTTATTAAATCTTTACATTCAGCGCAATTTTTCTTAATATTTTTCTCTTTTCCAGTAACACAAACGTAACACTAATAAAAAAAATATTTATTTTCAAGCAGCAACTTTTTGATGCGAGCGATTTTCTCCACAACTCTGATTGCTTGCTTACTCGCTGGTGTTTCAAATGTTGAAGGACACCAATTGGCGCAGCAAGGTGCGCAGTTCGCGTGCCAACACCAACCATCATTCATTCGTTTCGTCTGCATATTTCCTTGCTTCGTGTTTTTCGTACCTACTTTGCGCTTGGTTCATGCTAATATTTATTTAAAATTAAGAGTGTTTATACCGAAAATTACCATGGCGCTGAAATATTTACAAGGTAAATTATTTTATTGCTCAGAAATGTAGGTTGAAGTTCTTTTTTCCTTTTTTTGGGGACGATAGCAACGCGACTTCCTGCACTGATTACTTATAGCAATGCACATACATATGTACATTTGTACATTTGCATAACTGTTTGCAGAACCTGTTCAAAATAAGCATCATTTTTTATTTAATATACATTAATAACTGAATTTTTTATATTTCTCTTCCGCTTCGAAATTATTGTTTGTTTCATTTGATTTTCTCATTTTCACAACTACACATTTGTAGCACTCATAACGCCATTCAAGCCAAGACTGATAATCAAATTGGAAGCACGTTGAATATTCGCAAGAAATAGGCTGTATGTACGTATTTGCGACCACCCCCTAAATAGTCGTTTCAGTGCAAAATATGAAACAAACCGCATATTGTAGAAGTGGTTGGCCAGCAAAATAAAATGTATCGCATAGATATGCCAAAACAGCGAATACAAATCGCAATGCACACTTTTACACAATTATTTGTATATGCACATATGTATATGTATATGTACATACACAAAATCACTTTACTTTCTTTCCCTTTCCGCTTTGGACACGTTCTTCTTTATTTTTTGCTATACATTTTGTGCTTTGTTGTTGCTGTCATTCATTTATAATGAAATGTATATATAGCTGTTGTTTTTATCCCCATAACATACCACCGAAAGCCACCCCCACACTCCTCGACATTAACAAAATTTCAACAAAAGAATGAAAACCACACATATTCCCTCCACCTTTCGTAAGCCATACAATCTTCTCAATCCAACAACTATCACTTTTCTGCTGTTTTGTGCGAACTTTTCCTCTTCTCTCTACTTCTTGCTCTTCTTTCACACAATTATTCTCATATATTCCTTCACTGGTTTTATGAATCGATTTTATCGCTGCATTGGCAATTTTTTCCTCGATTTCTTTCAACACCTAATATTTGTTAATTTTCACATGAATTGCACACACAAATCAACCAAACGTGCACATTGTTTGTTGTTTACTTCGGACGCGTAGTTAATATAATTACCCAAACGGATTTTTGACATTAATTGAATTTTTTCACAAATTTTTAGCAGGTAAAATAGCGACGTATAAAAGGAAAACACTTGACACGAGCGCCATATTTGATGGGCAAACTCATTCTGGCTGGAATCGCAAACGTAATTGAATGAAGACCACAATTGGCGACACCTATTGGTCAATGCGCTGGAACGAATAAGCGGAGCAAGGGAAAATGAAGTAGTGTGTTCAGTGCGTGATGCTAAGATTAACGGCTTGATGTCGCTGTTAACAGAAATTCTTAATAATTTCAAAGTGAAAAATTATTTTTTAAAAATGCGTCTCTGTTAATATTATTAAAAAGAGAAAAATTGTACTTTTTAATAAGAATTTACTAGAGAAAAGCTTTTTTTTATTAATTGTATATCATAAAAATCCCAGGCTTGGCAAAACTTAACTCAGGTCAATTGCCAACTGTTTCTACTTTAGGATTTAACACAAAAGGTTTTTTGTAAGTTAAATTTAAAAAAAGGAGCGAAAAAATAATTCAAGTTTGTATCGTTTATTGTCATTTCGAGGCTTCCTTAAAGCTTCATATTTAAAGATTGAATAAAAGTTAGGTTTACTTGTAGTTTACGGCAGTTCTGAGATTACCCTAAGGAAAACATGCCAAATTTTTGCGAAAGATATAGATTACAAAGTGAGTTTGCTTAGCTTCAGGAAAGAAATTCATTGTTTGAACCACCTTTAAGAAATACAGAGACCGATTAAAGTGTTTTGTCCCACTTCAAACTTTTTCTCAATTATTTATGCTGAGATCGAAGCACCTTCGGCCGAGTTTCTCCCCAATTTGTGAAGTACGTCAAATGGAGGTTTACAGTTTATTCTATGCCGACTACAAATGGCCAACGGATTTTTAATAGGAGCTTTTTATTTCTTGTTAGCATTTTGAATCTTGATTCTTGCCTGATCCACGGTTCGAGTTCGACATTGACAAAGACGTTACAGTCCGGATTTTCAAAGATCTCGAAAGTACTTATACTTATCGTAAACGGACCCTGCGATTTATAGATAACTTAAAACAATTCCTTCCTCTTAATGAGTACTGAGATCTAGAATCATCACCTTTCGAATTATTTTGTTGGACCGTTGTAATAGACTCTCGAGGGAATGACTTCATTTGGATAGTTGAACATAGAGATATACCGGGTAACTGCAGGGTAGACAATCTTGCAACTGGAAGGCTGCAACGAGATAAGGTAGACTAGCCAGAACTCAGCGTTAGGAGATCAGGAAATTTGCTGCTTCTGTGCAGTATTAATCACCATGCGACACAACTTTCTCGGAATTTACTATTCCGACTGTTTCAATATTCATCAGATATACTTAATGGTGCGTCCATTTCAGAAGGAGATGGGTGCTTGGTTGAAATAGTGAGATTGAAAACGTGAACGCTCAATTTTATAAATTGTTTTACTTTCTTCCAACCTCTGTAAGGTTGGAACAAGGAGCATTGTGAAAGATACGATCTCTCAATCGGCTGAAAGCTGGACACTCACAAAGATTGTGCTCTAACGTTCCGTTATTTTCTGCGCATGGTCTGCAGATAACAGATTAAACTTTACCTAGCTTGTGAAGATTATATCTCAGGGATAAATGCCCCGTTAATACACACCATACTTAAACGTTCTTAAGTAACTTCTAAAGGCCCCGAAGGTCTTAGACACTAGATGGTAATAGCCTTGACTGCGGTGCTAGCTCGTCCACCTTTTCAGTGACTTCTACATCCCCGTGACCTGGGACCCAAGAGATATTTCCGCGGTTAGGTCCGCCTTCTTCCCTTTCTTTTCTACTACGAAAACAGTAAGTGACATCAACCCGGCAGAAGATTTCCGTTTCTCGGTCGGATTTTACGTTTAGGCCGAGTTCTGATATAGTTTTCTGAATGCTGCCATGTCATTCCCAACTAGGCACTCGATCCAACTATTACCGCTTGAACTTGGTTCAAATAGTCCTAATGGCGCCTGTTATACCAAGTAGACAGGTACGTGGCATTTGAAGTTTAATGCGGTTTATTTCTTTAATCCCGCTCTTAACATCCAATTCATCATTTTGGCAATGTTAGCCTGGAAATCCAACGCAGAATCTCTCTTGCTAACAGGTGCTACTTTGGACTGAGCAGGCAATTGAAGAGTTAAGTCCTTTCTCGGCGCTCAAGTCGCTCATCATACCCGTCCTGCTATATGGCGCCGAAGCGGGGACGATCAATATCTCTTGAGTCGGCTCTAGGAGTCTTCAAGAGAAAAGTTTTTGCGAACAATTTATGGTCCTTTGCGCGTTGGCAACGGCGAATACCGCAGACGTGATATAGTTTTGTGAATCAAGAAGCAGCGGCTACGCTGGCTAGGTCATGGGGTCCGGATGGAGGCGAATACTCCAGCTTTGAAAGTATTCGATGTCGTACCCGTTGGTGAAAGCAGAGAAAGGTTAAAGACCTCCATTTCGTTCTCCGTTAGAGAGATCATGTGGAGAGCGACCTGGTTTCACTTGATATTTACAACAGGCCTCCAAGAGCGAGGAGAAGAAGGAACGAATGGCGCGCTAATATTGATTCGGCTATAATCGCATAAGCGGTGCATCGGCGTTAGCAAAGAATAATAATAATAATAATAATAAGAAGAAGAAGAAGAAGAAGAAGGATTAACCCGACACACAGGCATACAGAGTTGGAGGGTATTCTAATGTTACAGCTTAAAGATCGTATGTTGAATTGGTGAAATTTTGAGAATAAGATATGATCTCACAGTGGTGCCTCAGTGGAGCCAAAAGACGTAACTTGAACTCGATGCCAACCAGCAATTTGCCGTTGCTAGTTACAACTACTGCGACTGTTGTTTATTTTTAATGTACTTTTCTCGGATTAACCAACTTCTTAACTCATACTCCCCACTGAGGATCGGCGATCGAAGCACAATATTTTCCATACACATACATATATATATTTCGGCTCTTATGCATTCATAAATGTATTGTACATACATACATATAACCCGCCAATATTCTTCAAAACTGCCATTCGCACTTCCGCTACGCCATCTTATCAGGGTCAATGTGTCGATGCTCGCTGATTCTGTCAATCCCAATTGGTTTCTTGACCTCCGCCTTGAAAAGTTTCCACGCCACAATTAAATTTCATGACCATAAATCTTTTTAACTGAAGACTTCGTGCAAGGACTTGAGCGAACGCAGCGCATTAAATGACCTACTCTTTATAAATACTATGTACATATGTATATATGTATATTTTTGTATGCAAGTGTGTTTGTAGATATATGTATGGACGCATGTACATACAGACAAAAGCTTGTAGCCGAATAATACATAAATTTATATTATAAATAATGAAAAATGCAGTCGTTTCTCAGCAGATAATTATGACTAAATACGCGTAGGTATGTACGTAAATATGTGATATTTCAGAAAGGGCAGGAATCGGAGTTTTCGATTGGCTTTGTGGTGAATATGGTAAATATAACCTCAAAAAATGTCGTGCTATTAGACAAGGAATAAATGCAACAAAGCTTCAACTTAAGTGTACGAATGATGCCATCTATCGAGTTATGGAATTCCGAAAATTTGTATATATCCAAAATAATATAGATCAGTCCTTGGTACTATTCCTGGAAATCAAAGTAATGTTGCTGCTAAACTAAGCAAAAGGCTACCTACGTATATATCAAATTTCAAGTAAATCAAGTAAATCGAATCATAAATAAGGTTTTTTTGAATGGCTCAGTCCCAAGTCCTCTTCCTGGTGTGAAAAATCCGACACCTAAAATTTCATTAAAATCGGTCAAGCCGCTTCCGAGGAGTATCGTGTCTAACAATGTGAAATGAGAGTTTTATATATTAGATTCTAATAAAAAAATATCTAATCGCTAGAGTTATTACCATCAGCATTCTTGTCAACTCCTGGCTCCAAGGACCGAAATTGAATTTACTACTCATGACGCTTCCTATTTTTTTGTTTTACTATGGGCGAATCGTTTTCTTACGTATTAACGGCCACAAAAATTGTCTGGTGGATTTGAAAAAAAAAAGATTAATATATATTTTTCTTAAATTTTTTAATTTTAAATTTAAAACGACATTTTTGCAAACGCCCACCCCCTCAATGATCACTTTAATGAATGATATGATATCGATATCAGCGGCGATAAATTTTTCGCTATGAGCGACTCGTTTTCTTTTGCAATAAATTATTGTTTGATCACCTTTTTACACAGCTAACCGTGACTATCAGAAAAAAAATGTTTCGTTTAAACGTCACAAATATTACCAACTTATTATCCAGGCAACTAATTGGCAACAAGAAACAAATGTTGTCGTTTTATCACTACGGCAATAAATCGGCGAGTTGCCGTTTTCTCTTGATTTTTATGAGGAATTGTGTGGTGGAGGGAAAAATATTTTTTCTTTTCATTTCCACCCTTTATCGCCCTTTCTGCGAATGTAAAAACGTAAATTTATACAATAAAAATTTACAATAACACTTTTCACATATTAAATGTGATTAATTGATTTATTACTTTTAATGCTCTTTTTAACCTTTACTAATGGCTTCTAAGTAGCTTAAGCTTTCAATAAATGATGTTTGATTGAAAATATTTTAAAAATATTTACTTTTTTTATTTGTAATATAATATTTTAATCGTCTCAGAAATAATAATCAGAGATTTCCAGGCAGTCATTGTTGCGTATGATCAGGCTTATGATCATATAATAGCCGATCTCCTTCTGCGACATCTTAACGCATTTAATCTCTAAACACTAATTTAATAAAATTTAATCTTAATTCAATAATATTTTGAAATATGTTGTCCTCGCACCTATATGCAAACTCAGTATTGATCTTTAGACGTCTCAATTCGTAATCGGATTACCACTGCGGCGAACTGATGAAGCTTTCGAAAAAATTCATTGAAAATTGCTTATATTACATGATGATATAAATTTGATAATGAAGACTAAATTTATTTGTCAATCTAAACGCAAGGATGCCCATCGAACTATGCTCGCGTACAGTCCTCAGAGTAGTGCATCTGCCAAAAGCTTTTGGTACCACCAATTCCGCATTACCTGAGTGGTCAACAATCAACAATCATCGCTAGAGTTTATTGGTCAAAAATCTAAACTCCGAAAATTTAAGTAAAAAATTCCACATTTTGTTGTTCTCTCTCCAGTAGTTTCCCTGATCTGATCTTATATGACCATGA